CCTCCTACCACTTTTCTACCTTGTCTACCCAGTTCCCACTCTGGAATCACATGCAGCATTTCTGTGGCTTTACTCTTTATCCTTGTCTAGCAGTCTTGTATTTACTTATTTTTTGTCTTGTCTTCATTTTGGTTTTAATTACATTTCATTAACATTTTAATGAAATTAAAACCAAAATGAAGAGTCTCCTTTTTTTTTAAGAGTCTCCTTTTGAACTTAGGGAACCCCAGCTGGCTCACAGCGCTGGGCTGTCTTTTTCTAAAGTGCTTGTTGCTGTCTGGTTCTGTGACATCATGGCTAAGAATGCAGATTCTGGGACCATGCTTCCCATGTTCAAAACTCAGCATCCTCATTTCCTAAATTCATGATTTAAGCAAACTTTTAAAAACCTCTCTGTGTAAGATTGGCTAAGAGTACTCATGGGATTGTGGGGAAATTAAATTAATTAGTACAGGTAGCCTGAAAAGAGCAGATAACAAACATTATCTGAGTAGTGTTGATTTGGAGTATCTACTAGCATCAGTGGTCACTTATTGTTATGTGTAGTCCAGTCCAACCCATGACTGACCCTCCAGTGGATTTTCAGAGTCAGTAAATCAAGTGGGAGTTGACTGGCCATCTTTCTTCCCCAGAGCAGCTGGTGAATTTGAACCATGTGCCTTCGGCTTGGCAGCACAGTTCCTTATTACCCTACTAACAATAGTAGTAGTAGTAGTAATTTGGTTATCATACTAATAATTGTTGCCAGGTCTGTGTGCTATTCATTTTCTGTACTTTTTTTTAACTGAATCACCTTTTTTTTCCAATAAATTTTTTAAAAGATATATCTTAAATGAAAATCCAATATTACTTGATCCATAAATGCCTTGTGTAAATAGCTTTATGTAATGGTGCAAAGACCACAAAACAACATTAGTGAATGCACGTTCAGAGTCAGAACCTGACGCCTGCTTGCTAGGTAGCTTGAACTCTTGCTTTATTCATTCTCTCTCCTCCCTCCCCACCTCAGCTCCCTAACCCCGCTCTCACTCTCTCTGCCTTCCCCCATCTACATGCATGCGTATGTGTGTGTGTGTGTGTGTTTGTTTACTCTCTCTTACCAAAGAAGCATGAAAGCATGTCAAAAGCATTGTGTTGGTTTTGTTTCATGCTGTCGGAACTGACTCACAGCTGACCCTCCAACAGGTTTTCAAACAGTAAATCTCACTGGAGGAGACTGCACATCCTCCTCCCCAGGAGCAGCTGGTAGATTCAGACCACGTGCCTCCGGGTTGGCAGCACAGCTCATTACTATGAGGCCATCCGAGCGCCCTTGTCAGAGTTGTATGTTGTTGTGTGCCATCAAGTGAGAACTGACCCATACACATTTCACTCCACGCACACTCAGAACTGCTGAAGGAAAAAAGTTACTTTCCCACTCTGCGGTCAGTGTTATCTAGTGAAATTCCATTCTCCTCCTAGAAAAGCAGTTGTCTCATGCTTTTCCGACCTTGATCTGGACCATTCAAGATTTTTATAGACCACAGACACCAAGCTATCACCTTGTCATTTTCAACCATCTACCTCTTTTCCTCATTTGAAAGCCCTTCTGTGTTTTTCTGCTTTTGACCCATATTCCCTGCTTCTTGGGGGCCAAGATGCTCCAGGTTTTCTCAGAAACGATTCATGGGCGTCCACGCTCTTCTGTTTGAACCTGTGATGCGATTCCTTAGCTCTGACGCCCGAGTCCATTCAGAGCTGCTCAGTGTCGTTCTGTCTTCTCGCTTGTATTCACAAAGCTTGCTTTCCCCCTTTCCAGCTGGAAGGTCATTCTTCTCCTCAGAGAAAAGAGCCTTAACAGGAATGGCCTGTTGTCTTACGGGTTGTGACAGATGATCCTCCCTAGATAGCAGCCCCCTTCTCTCCCTCATCCTGCACATTCCAGCTCTGCAGAAAAGGCCTCCTCTGTGATCCAATGGGCCTCACCTGCCTCTGGCAGTTTACAATGGTCCTATGCCTCCTGCTCTGTCCTCAGCATGCCCCTCCTCTCTTTGATTGGAGTCTGTGCTAACCTGAGCTCACCTGAGGTCTCTTTGTGACTCACCCCTCCCCCACCATGGGTCACTTTGTCTCTCAGTCCTTTCTTCCTAAGTGAGATTGTCCTGGCTAGTTGCGTCCGTTTCCTGCATTCGAGATTCCCATCTCCTGTGACTCATAGCATTCCCTTCACAGTCTCTAGCCCTGGGAACCTAGTCGCTCCTTTATCAGTTGTTCGAAACCTGTTTTTCTGAAATCTGGGGTGTGTGTTTCCTCCCTCTTATACTGCAGATTCTCAGGTGACCCAGCCCCTTTGTCCTCAGGTCCCCATCCCTGCCCCGTCACCATCCGCCCATTCTTGCAGATTCAGAGGCAGTCCAGGTGAGCAGGGAGCCAACATTTCACCAGGTTGTTGTCTCCCATCTAATGTGTGAGGCTCTTAGCTGGTATGTGGGTGCTGAGTCTCATCTTGACTCTGTGTGCTCCTAACTTCTGCAGGCGAAGCCACATCCTCTGCAGCTTCACTGTGCATGGGCTCCCAGGATGCAGTTCCTCGGCCCTATCCCTTTTGTATTTCCGTCCAAAGCATGTTCTCTGTGCTTCCGCTCAGGATCATGAATTAACTCCATAATTGCCTCTCTTTTTGATTGAAAAAGTCGTTCTCTTCTTCCATTCCAGATGTTTCTTTGGGTGGTGGCGGTTGTTCAGTTCTGTCAAATATGACTCTTAATTGACCCTGTAAACAGTTCTGAACCCTGTTCTATCCTGTGTTATACTCACAATCTCTTAAACTCTCAAGTCAATTGCTGCAGTCACTGTGTCAGTCCAGATGGTTGAGGATCTTCCTCTCTTTTGCCACCTTTCCATGATGTCCTTCTAGCAACTCATAGCCAACATGCCCAGAGTGTATGAGTCGAAGCTTCTCTATCCTTGCCTCTAAGGAGCAGTCTGGGTGCACCTTCTCCAAGATATATCTGTTTATTCTTTCGGCAGTCTATGGGATATTTAGTACTCTCCTCCAGCACCACAGTTCAAAGGCATTAGTTCTTCTGTCATTCAGTGTTCAGCTTTCAGATGCATAGCAAGTGACTGAGAAGACCATGATCTGAGTCAGCACACCTTAGTCCTCAAACTATTATCATTGCTTTTGAGTAATTTAGAGAGGTTCCTAACTGCAGACTTTCCTAGTGCAATACATCTCTCTCTTGATCCAACTGCTGGTACCAGGATGTTGATTGGAATCTAAGTAAGATGATGGGAAGAAAAAGTCTCTAACCTTTCTCCCTCTCACTGTTTCACACACTGTGCTTGGTTAGAACTCGCCTGTTAGAGGTGAAGTGAATACATCCGAGAGCAGGCTGCTTCCATCTCCTCGTTTGTTGTCAGGACACTTCTGCCCAAATGTCACCGCAGATAGGGTGCACACATAAAATCGTAAGACCTACACATGCACACACCCACACACACCCACACACTTGCCCCTTCCCCTGTGTCCATTTCTCCACAGCATCTGTCCCTCCAGTCACCCAAGCCCATATCTGGAATCAGTCCTGTCTCCTCCTACTTCTCCATCTCCTTTGTCTACTCATGGTTTGCCACCACAGACTGCCTCCTGCAGCTCCCAAATCCGCCTTGCCCCCTCCTCCCTCCCAAAACCTCCTCCCCTCTAGGTTAGGGTAGAGAGGTGGTCACACATTAGCATCTATGTCTGTGGTCCCCTGGCAGTGAAGATGAGTTTCTTGTACTCACCTTTTGGCTCCAGCCCAGTATTGACTGACTCCATCATTCTGTTCTCTGAAGGAGAAAGAAGCTCTTGTCCTCCCCTAAAGAATACACAGTGCAGACCAGCCTCATCAAGTTTTGTTTCTGCCAGTAACACTTAGAGTATCTGGATATGAGCAATGAGAATTCTGGCTAAGTCCTCCATAGTCAGCCATGGTGTACACACTCACAGTAGAGGTTCTTGAGGCCTGAGAGCCAAACCCAACCCAACTCATACACGGTGGTTCCCTTACAGACCAAATGTCACCAGTACTGGCCCGACCCTCCTGAAGTAGTGGAACATGGCGGCTTCCACATCCGGTGCCAGTCAGAGGATTGCACCATCGCCTACGTATTCCGAGAAATGCTCATCACCAACAGCAAGGTGAGTGAGGCCTGGTGGTGAGTGGTCCGGGGAGGCACAGCCTAGACACGGCACCGAGTCAGCATCTGCTATAATCCCGGATTAAGCCTTTCTGATTGGTCTACTTTACAATTTCCGTTAGTGAGCATTTCAGTCATAATACACGACCAACCAGGCAAGGGCCAGTCATGCATGACTGTTCCGATAGCTAATACCACAGGAGCCAGCAGGAAATGGTGACTGTGGACAGAAGTGATCAAGGAAGCAGTCCTGCGGGAGGGCAGGTGCTTTGAGAGAGGCTGATGCAGGTGGGCCAGCATCAGCAGGGGCTACACCAGGACCGTGCACCATGGGAGAAGGAATGTCAGGAGACAGGGCTTGTCCTACCTGGCGGCCAGGTTGAGCAAGGATCCACTTGCCCACCTATCCTCATTGACTCACCAAGGGTACCTATCTTCCCTAGACAGGAGAAGAGCACACGGTCACGCATCTCCAGTATGTTGCATGGCCTGACCACGGTGTTCCTGATGACTCTTCAGACTTTTTGGAATTTGTAAACTATATGCGGACCCTGAGAGTAGACAGCGAACCTGTCTTAGTTCATTGCAGGTACTGTGCTTTGTTGCTTTCTTAAATACACCTATTCCTTGGGAAAGGGAGCTCTGGTGGCCTAATGGTAAGGAATTATGCTGTCAGTCCCAAGGTACGTGGTTCAAATCCCCCAGCTGCTCCGTGGGAGGAAGATGGGCAGTGAACTCCCATGTGATTTATTGCCTCTGCAGAAGCACTGGAGTGTCTGCGGTAAATTGGTCCCGACTCCATGGTACACAACAACAACAAACATTCCTTGGGAAAGGCTCAGAGAGAGTTGGCAAGTGCTGGACATAGTCCCCACCAGACTGCATGTTTTCACGAAGTTCTATTTATTTCTTTACTGTTTCAAAAGTCTGGCAATTTTCTGACACCACAACTATAAGGCAGAACTGAGGAAGAGAATCGCATCCTTATTTTTTCCTTTGTCTCTGCATCTGCTCTCCTTCACGATAGATGTGACTAAGAAGGGAGTGAATTGCGCGCTTCGTGGTGGTCTCTTTCCCTTGTTTTTTAGACCCTGACCTCAGAATAGAGGAGAAAGTCTCTTCCAGCATTGCTGAGAGCACTCTGTGAGGAGGGTATGGTTTGTGTTCAGAATGATCTGAAGAGGAAAGCTCTTTGTGAATGGGAGCTGAGTAAAGCTGAGTCCTACAAGGGTAAATTGCAAGTCTCTCTTTCTTGCCCCTCTTCAGTGCTGGAATAGGTCGAACTGGTGTGTTGGTCACTATGGAAACCGCCATGTGCTTAATTGAGAGGAACCTGCCCGTCTACCCACTGGATATTGTCCGGAAAATGCGAGACCAGCGCGCCATGATGGTGCAGACATCAGTGAGTAGAAATGCAGTAGTATAAACATGGTAGTGGCTGTCACCTACTGGGAGCTAACCCTGGGCCAGGCTGCACTGAAGGTTCTGCAGGTGAAGAGGGTGAGCCTCCAGGGATTCCCAGGGTCACCGAACTTGCCTTGGGCCAAGCAATTCTGAAGCTCACGGGCACACACTTATGATCTAGGTGACCGTGTCGCACAGCCCTAGTCCACTTCTCTTATACTATTTTGTTGTGCCCACATGGCTACCCTGCAGCAACCTTTACCCTTTGCAGCCTGCCCTGGACAGCGGGCTTTCCCTCTGCTGTTTTTCCAGAACACATTGCCCACCCCTTTCAGAGCACCCTTCTCTCACATTCATCAGGTAGTAGTCATTGAATGTAATTTCTGCATGTTTCTCAAGCAGGTCACACAGGGTTGGGCCTAGTCCAGAGTTTGGTACATGGTGTGTATTTATGAATGACGGACAAGAAGAGCCCATACGTTGTGGTGCCATGCAATGCTTTTGGAACTGCCTGGTTTGACTTCTGTGCTTTCTTTTCCAGAGCCAGTACAAGTTTGTATGTGAAGCAATTCTTCGTGTGTATGAAGAAGGCTTAGTTCAGATGCTGGAACCCAGTTAAGACAACTGTGAAAGCATTCATTCCTCTTTCCCAAGGACATCCTCCTAAAGGACAGACCTTCTCTCCAGAAGCAGCAAGAGGAATCCGTGTAGGCTGTGGGAAAGGAATGAGCACATTGAACGCAGGCACTTTAAATTTCTGTAGAAAAGGTATCATGTACATATGAGCTATGTAGATACGCATGCCAACATGTATAGCATCACTTAGACCCGTTATCCCTACAGAAAAAAGATAAGAAAAGGGAATCTCAGTTTGGGGCCTGTCCTGTTGCCTTCTATTGTAGACATTACCATACCCCTGTAAGCCACCCTCGGGCATTGTCGAAGGAACACCAGGAGTGCTGTTGACCTCCAGGAAACATGATCGTGTGGTTAGTTAGGCTTGTGTGGATGTTCTCTGTGCAGATGTGTACAGGAGTACTAGGGCTGCACTTTATGTGCTTCTAAGTGGAGCCAGAGTTTCAAGTCCACACACCTCTGCTGTTAAGGAACCCCTGATGAATGTACTCCGATGAGCAGTACCTTTCCTGCCCTCTCTTCCCCTGTCCTGTCTTCCTGCCACTGCCACTGATCATGTTTCTGAGAATCATGTCCCAGACGCCCCCTGCTTTCTCCCTGCACCAGTGACCCCTTTCAGGTTATAAGTAGTGCCTGCACCGGAATTCTGATGCTGCATTCTGGTGAATTTTCAGTTGAGGCTCTGAGAACTAGGACTCTCGGTGCCTTCTTGTCATCTTGTTTGTTAGTTTTAGAAGCAGGTGTCTCTCGCCTTTGCGTGCCGCTTTCTAGACACTCGGAATCCAGGACTGGAATCACTTACTACTGAATCTACTACATGTGTTGCTGCTACTTCAAGCTGTTAGACTTGAAATCTTATGATTCTCATGAGGGGATACGAGATGATATCATTTAAATATTCAGAATCTGTGGCCCTTCTCAGAAAGATCCAGTAATTGAACCATGGGAAACCCGGCTTCTGGAGGGTCATCTGTGGGTGTATGTCTGTGTGCGCGTGTGCCCATGGGTGAGTGTTTCTCAGGATTCCTAACTATTCAAATTACAGTTGAGTTTATATAAAGAATGAGTCTCTGTATAGAAGAACAAATGTGTGCATTCACCCTCAGTTGCAATGGTCTCCATTTCATTTCAAAGGAGAGGATCAGACTTTCTGAATACAAACACAATTTGATGTTAATTTATTCTAAGTACACCATGATTTTGATTGTCCTTAAAGAATTCTGCCTTTGTTAATACTGTGTTAAATTTTTTTTTTAAATTTGTGACAGGATTGTAGCAAATTATTATTTAAGGAAAATAAATTACATAAAAATTTTCATGTGGTATTTTTAAATAGCTGGGGTTTTTTTGTGTATCAAAAAGGAAGCAAAGCCAGTTTCTTAACCGTATTTATAGAAGGATGCTTTCATATTACAGTGCATGTAAATGAAGCCATTTTGCCATTGAGCAAACTCTGGACCAATTGAGTAATTTTCTTGGTTGCAAGATGGACAAAGACTTACACAGCGGGGGCCAGATTTCTGAGAGTTCTTTATCTCTGGGTGTAGCCAACCTATTTGTGTATATTCAGTGTATTCCCTACCAATATTTTACTGTAAAATGGAAGGACAAAAGGGAGGCACCGTAACCCTGTAACTCTGAAGCAGGAACAGCTAGAGGAATGTAGCAGGAAAACTTAAAACTAAGGGGTGGGAGGTTAGGTTCTTGACCCTACTCAATGCTAACTAGTTCCAGTCCTAGACTCTTAAGAGCTCCACCTCTGTTTTCTCATCTGTAAAAGTCGAGAAACCGTATTTATGCATTATGCTGATTATGAGGCTTGAATATTATTAACGTCCATTATCATCAGCTGGGAGATGACTGCTATTGCTGTGTCTGAGTTACTTGGAACAGTAATTAGTGATGCTCCCAAAAACATATTGAACAAGTAGAATCATCTGGGGTTTTGGTTGTTGGGTTGTTGTGTTTTTTGTTTTTTTTTTAAAAAGAAAACTGAAGATTTATGTTTTATTACTACAGGAAGAACTAAAACTCCACCAGACTATCTTGTTATTCCAGGTCCTGCAAGTTTTCTACCTTTGACAGGATGCTATTTTAGCACGTCTGCCATTTATTTTAGTGGAAAATATTTGCGTTTTCCTCCTTTGACAGGTTTCTGCCTTACACTTCCTTACTCATTGCTTTGAGAACCAACTTCTGGCTCAGGAGGCGGTAGCCCATCTTTGCTCCCTTGCAGCAGATGGAGGATTTTAACTATCTAACTCCAACTGACTTGACCACCAGCACTCTCTTACTCACTTAACTGCTTTTGCAAGTTTTACTAGATTTTTGTGGGGAGGAAAAAAACCCAACCCAGATTGTTTAATATGGTTGTGGACATGCTGCCCCTGTTGTTACATAAATTTCTGTAAAGTACGCCAAAGGTTTGAAGGCAGGCTTCTCGTGCCACTGTGCTGGCTAACAGTTCAGATTCAGCAGATGCTTCCTGGAGGAAAATCCATGAAATAATGATAAAAAACAAGATGAGAATTATCAACAGGGACAAGATGTACAAGTAAATACTGCAGATAATGCCAATTAAATTCTGTAGTTCACGTTTCCTGTTTCACCACCTTAAGCACTTAAGCAGTTATACTCGAGAAGCCTTTTTTAGCCCTAAGTGAAGAACTTCATCAGAATTGGGATAAATATTATGCCTGGGAAATTCAGCTGGGTGTGAATGGAGAAGACATTTTCAGCCTACATTCTGGCATGCTCAGGAAGTTTAATTAGATTCATAGATGCGCCAAGTTAATCATGAGAGGGGATCCCTGCTCATTTTACTCTGTAGAACCTATGCTTGAGGTTTAAACCTTCCAGAGAGCAAGCTTCAACTCCGTCAGGACAGAAGGAGAGATGGTTACATACACCTTTAGGTTAGTGTAGATACCGCTGTTGCTGGTTGACGTTATTTTTACTCCTCAGAAATGACCGTTTGAGGATAAGTAACAGACCTGCAGGAGAAGGATGGGTAGTCTCCTGTGTGATTTACTGCCTCAGAAAGGCTGCTGGAGGGTCGGCTGTGGGCCAGTTCCAACTCGACAGCACACAACAACAACCTCTAGTCCTCCAGAGGCAATGAAGAGGCAGGAGTTGGGTCCCGATCTAGGTGTAAGCAAGATCTGGGCACATTTGTAGAAGCGGAAGATTGCCTTGGGGTAGATGAACTCTTTAGCTCTTTCCAGAGTTAACATGTTAAAAGTGTGAGATTCCTGAAAATGGTAATAATCCTAAACCAAAGTTCTATAGCTGCTATAGAGATCCGACTCACAGTTCTTGTCTTCCGGGATTGGCCCCTTAGACCTAGGCACTGTTGATTGCAAAGACAAGGATTGTCACTCTCTGGTCCCTGCCTGGCATCCTAAACTGAAGGCAATCTCAGTAAAGATGGCCGAGCGGACCAAATGCATGCAAGTCTGATGGCCCAGTTGCCCCACTGTCTTTATAACTCATATTCTTTTGGAAGCAACCAAAGTATTTATGTTAAGCTGTGTAATACTGAAAAGTATATTAATTGATCAGCAATATTATTTCTGTACATTTGGAATGTTTATTTTTTTTTTCATTCTGACCTGTTTTGTCAGTGACTACTGAAAAACAATTTGATCAATATAAAATGTTCAAGCTATACAACATTTAATTGTCTGTTGACATTTTTATTCTAATAATTGCCTTGTTTTCCAGAAGTATTTCTTTCTTACATTTATTTGGGTTGTTTTGGGGATTTTTTTCTTAGGTGAATATTGATTCTTTGAGAGGAGAGTGAATTCTGCCTGTCTCATCCTCTCCACTGGTTAGAAACATGACATCCCATGCACAGCACTTTGACATAGGCTTGCAAATTTGAAATCAAGAAGTGGGTTCAATTAGGGAGACACTGAGTAAGATGGGTTCAATAATGTATACTGCACTGAAGCAGAGGAGGGAGAGAACCGTCTAAAAGAGAGATGGAACTGGGTATTTCTGTCATCACAGGAGACTAGAGCGAGGGCTGCATGGTGGAGGGGACCTGGGGGAGGGTTTGTAAAACAATGAAAGAATCTTTTCTTTTACTTTTCCATAAAAAAAAAAAAAGAAAAGGTCATCCAAAGTAAAACATCAGCCATATGCAGTGCTTTTACCCAAAAAAAAAAAAAAAAAAAAAAAGAAGTGGGTTCAGAGAGAGCTCTGGTGACCTAGTGGCAAGAAGTTGGCCTGCAATCCCAAAGGCGCATGTATCGAATCCACTAGATGCTCCGCTGGAGAAGGAGGGGCAATCTCCTTTGCTAGTAGGATCTGATTCGATGGTACACAACAAAAAAGGGAAAAGAATGTGGGTTCAGATGCTGGTAACAAGTCTTATTACCCTCTGAGGCAGACTGCAAGGTTGGCTGTGTGATCATCACGGGGTCCTCATTCTTTCTGACTTGTTGGTTTGCCATCCATCATGTATAGCTTCTGCCTTAAGATGAGTGCGCCAGTCATATTTCTGTTCCAGCCAGGAGGACAAAGGAAAGGGAGAAGAGCAAGACCCCCTTCCTGGAGGACATGTCCTGGAAGCTGTGCACACACCTCATCAGAACTTAGGGACTTGTCATACCCCACTAATAAGAACTTAGTATTGGGCCATACCGAGAGTGGGAGCCCAGAAAAGCTCATATTTAGTCCTAGAAGCCATGCTCCCAACTGAAGTTCAGGGGTTCTCCTTTTGAGAAGGGGAAAGTGGGTTTTGAGTGACTTTAGTGGCCTCTTCCATGACTCAGCCCTTTGACCCCCTTTTTCTCCCACATAAAATCCATTCCCAGGGAGACAATCCAGACTCCATCCAGTGATGGCATTTAGGTAAAGTTCAGGTTTCTTGGACAGTGTGCTGCCTTCATCAGCTCTGTCAGGCTTCTTGTGGTCTGATAACCTGTGAATTAAAAGACAGCAGAGCCCAGCAACAGTAACAAACTAGAAATAGGAAAACAGCCATTAAAAACCTCTCTTAAAAAGGAGAAAAAAACCACATCACTATCATTGCTCATTTTTAAAAAACTCAGTTGCTGTTGCGGTCGTTTCTAATTCACCTTGTGAGTTAAGAGCAGAACTGTGCTGGAGCGTGCTCGGTGGTCACCTTTCAAAGTCTCCCAGGTCTCTCTTCAAGGGCACCACTGGGTGGAGTTGAACCTCTAACCTTTGCTTGGCAGCTTAACTGTTACACCACTGACAAAATCCCCACTGCATAAACGCACTGCTGTCTCATTAATTCTGACTATAGCCACCTTACAGACAGAGTAGGCCTGCCATCGAAGATTTCCAAGGCGATAAGGTTGGAAAGTTGGAAGATTGTCATCACTTTCTCCTGTGGAGCCACAGGTGGATTTGAACTGCCACCTTATAGGTTAGCAGCTAAGTACATACCACAGTGCCACCAGAGTTCATTCCCTTGCCCCTAAATAAAACCCACTGCCATGGAGTCAATTTCCTATCATCGTAGCTGGTTTCCAAGGCTGAATGGCTGAACTGGAAGAAACTGCCCATCTCACCCATGGAGCTGCTGGTAGATCAGAACCGCTCACCTTTTAATGAGCAGCCCCAGCACACAGTGCACTGCACTACCAAAATGCCACCTGCTGTCACTACCTCATGTGCCATCAAGTCAGACCCTCCAACAAGTGTTCAGATGCAGTAAATTGTATGGGAGGAGATTGTCCATCGTTCTCCCACAAACAGCTGGTGACCCTGAGTTGTATGCATTTGGGTTGGCAGCACAACTTATCACTAAGCCACCAGAGCTCCCAATTCCTCATTTGTTCTTAAGTGTTGTTGAGTCATGTACAATTAATTGTGACCCTATGAATAACACATCTGAACCCTGTCCTATCCTGTGCCATCCTCACATTTTCTGACACGAGCCCATTGCTGCAGTCACTGTGTCAATCCATCTTGTCAAGGGTCTTCCTCTCTTTCACTGACCCTCCACCTTTCCAAGCATGATGTCCTTCTCCAGGGAATAGCCTCTCCTAGAAACATGCCCAAAGTATATGAGATGTAGCTTCAACAACATTAACTCTAAGGAGCATTCTGACTGCACCTTCTCCAAGACTTACCTGTATGTTCACTTGGCAGTCCATGAGATATTCAGTACTCTTCTCCAATACCACAGTTCAAGGGCATCAATTCTTCTGCCAACCTTATTAATTATCTAGCTCTC